GAAAAAAAAATATCTTAGAAGAGTTGAATTTTAATAAGAAAAAAATTTTATCAAAGATTTTTTGAAGAACATAAAGTATTTTTAATTTTTTTTTTTTTCATTTTCATATAGCATAATTGTATAATTTTTAAATATATCTTTTTTCTTTTATTTTTATTTTTTTCTCTTTTATAGTTTCTCAAAATCAGTTTCCTGAAGAATAATTGATAACAATAATTTATTGACAATAATATATATAAGTTGAGAGGATGTTTATTCAAAACTAATTATGAAGTGAAATATTATTCTCAAGGTTGTACTTAGAGGCTAAAGCTCTTTTGAGAATTGACAACTATTGACAAGTAAATTAGTATGTAATTTAATTTGACCATGACGTAATTGCCTTATATATCTCTATTGATTTTTATATTGATTAATAAATACACAATGCTGGCCTGATCACAGGTTTAAAAAAAAATTACTATACAAAAGTCTGTAACTTACTACTATTTATTTATTGTCTCAATAAAGATATGCCATGACGGCATGATTGCGGATTAGGTATAATATTATTGATACTTTCTAAATATGAAAATGATCCTCGTGCAACTTACTCTTAACACAAATTACCGCCAAGTCACGTGATAGGAACTATTGACATAAGTTAGTGTGATGTCAAGTGGCGTCGGACATGTGATTGGTACCAAGAAAAAGGTTTTTTTTGTGTTGAAACCAAACATTTTCTATTTCGTTTAACGAAATGTCGACTACCCCTCCACCTGTTCCACCCAAGCCTAATAGCCAAGGGAGAAGCAATAATGAAGGTGGAATCAATCAATTATTGAATCTAATAGATTCAGAAATTCCTCACTCTAACTGGGGAACTCTAAGCAACAATCAGCAATACTCAAGTTCATCCCAATACCCTTCCTCATCACCATCAAATTCATATAATGCAAATACATTTTCGCAGTCTTATGCTTATAATTCTGGACCGTCTTATGGCAGCGCTCAAAATTACGGTGGTCAACCTTATTATCAAGAGAATCAGTACTCAAATTCCCAATATCCAGCGTACTCACCAGGTTGGCCTGCTCAAACTTCGAACTATTCAGAAAACTATGGACCATCTTCAAGCCAATCTGGTTCCGCAATGCCAACGCCTTATAGTTATGTATCTGAAGGAACATCGTATTCTATTCCCACTTCTCACACGGGACCAAAAACTACGCCGGTTGGATACGCAACACCGCAACTAGTGATGCCAGATTTTCATACATACGTGAATAATTCATCCGGGCATCAGAATGATTCGAATAGTCTGCCAAGGAATTCTCAGGTGCCCTTGC